TCTCAAAATATAAAATAAATAATTTCCTTTAGAAGTACAATTTGTCACTTAATAAGTGCCATACCCGTCTCTGTTCTGACCAAACTAATCCCCAAATGTCATCTGTGATTCCTAGGACAGTCCAGAGAAAACTGCTGCCATGGTAAAGGGAGATTTTTATGTCACTGGAGACAGAGGAATGATGGACAGCGATGGGGATTTCTGGTTTGCCGGCAGAGTTGATGATGTCATTATTTCCTCTGAGCTTGTAGATTTGCCACTCTTAAGAGGCAAGGATTGACAGGAAGGGAGAGCTCCTACTGGAGCATGTAGTGGTCAAAGGCTTCTTTTCCTTTTCAGGTAACATATTGGGCCATTTGAAGTGGAGAGTGCGCTTGCGGAGCACCCAGCAGTTGTTGAATCGGCTGTTGTCAGTAGTCCAGATCCAATTTGCGGAGAGGTAGATGAATGTCATCAATTAAAGTAGCAACTTTATATTTTCGAGTTCTGTCCATTTGACTACGGTAAAGGCTGAACCAAAAGTGGTCATTTAATTTTCACTATGAGGCACGCATTTGGTCAAAATATAAACCAGGCAACCAACTTTACAATAAGTTGTGTCCCAAAGGGGAGCTATTAGGATTCTTTTGAAGGCAAGTGACAGAAACTCAACTCAAACTGTCCTAAAAAAAAAAAAAAAAAAAAAAAAAAAAAAGACATTTGGCTCATGGTAAGTGACAAGCATTCAAGTACAGCCACATCCAAGGGTTCATGTAAGGTTGGCAAGACTTAGTCTCTCTCCATTTTTGGCTCTGCTGTTCTTTATGCTGGCTCTATTTGAGCGGATTCTTCCTATTTGATAGCAATCAACTCCAGACTTACACAGGGTAGCAACCCTCCATTCCTCCAGGAAAGGACAGAGCTCTGTTTTCAATCATTTCAAGCACCTCTCAGGACTGCATTTGCCCACCTTAGATCACATCTCTCACCAGTGTGGTTCAGGGTAATTGTATATGCTGATGGGCCAGACTTGGATCATATTGTGTCCAGAATTGGTGGGTTCTTGGTCTTGCTGACTTCAAGAATGAAGCCACGGACAGTCGCGGTGAATGTTACAGCTCTTAAAGGCGGTGGCATCTGGAGTTGTTCATTCCTCCCGGTGGGTTCATGGTCTCGTTGGCTTCAGGAGTGAAGCTGCAGACCTTTGTGGTATTACAACTCATGAATGAGGCGTGGACACAAAAAGTGAGCAGCAGCAAGATTTATTAAACAGACCGAAAGAACAAACCTCCCACAGTGTGAAAAAGCATGACAGCCCCTCCCACGGCTGGGTCATGCATCCTGCTTTTATACCCTTATCTGACCCCACCCACGTCCTGTTGATTGGTCCATTTTACAGAGAACTGATTGGTCCATTTTGACAGGGTGCTGATTGGTGTGTATACAATCCTCTAGCTAGACATAAAAGTTCTCCAAGTCCTCACCAGCTTGACTAGACACAGAGCACTGACTGGTGCATTTACAAACCTTGAGCTAGACACAGGGTACAGATTGGTGTGTTTACAAACCTTGAGTTAGACACAGAGTGCTGATTGGTGTATTTACAATCCTTTAGCTAGACATAAACGTTCTCCAGGTCCCTACCAGATTAGCTAGCTACAGAGTGCCGATTGGTGCAACCATGAACTCCAAGCTAGACACAGAGTGCTGATTGGTGCATATACAATCCTCTGGCTAGACATAAAAGTTCTCCAAGTCCCCACCCGACTCAGGAGCCCAGCTGGCTAGCCTAGTGGATCGCGCACCAGGGCCGTGGGTGGAGCTGCCCGCCAGTCCTGCCCCGCACCTGCACTCCTCAGTCGTTGGGTGGTTGATGGGACCTGGTTCCAGGGAGCAGGGGGCAGCACCTCTAGGGGAGGCTCCAGCATGGGCATGGCAGGCTGCAGTGCTGGGCGACCGGTGAGAATTCGAGCCTGGCAGGCCGGCAGTGCTGGGTGACCCCGTGCACCCTCCACAGCTGCTGGCCCAGGTGCTAAGCCTCCCGCCTGCGCCTCTCCCTCCATACCTCCCTGCCAGCAGAGGGTGCCAGCTCTGGCCTTGGCCAGCCCAGAGAGGGGCTCCCACAGTGCAGTGGTGGGCTGAAGGGCTCCTCAAGTGTGGCCAAAGCAGACGCCGAGGCCAAGGAGGCACTGAGAGTGAGCCAGGGCTGCCAGCACGCTGTCACCTCTCAATATGTCTATCATTGGAGATAGGGGTTGGTGTCAATCCCACCAGAGAGAAGTTAGGGTAATACTCTATAGGAAAAACTACAGTAGCTACTAAAAAGGGGGAACAGATACTGTATAAGCATATGCAGATTTCACTGGATAGGCAGCACATTTCACTGAATGGACAACTGCCATGGAACTCAGAATACATTTTCTCACAGAAACAAGGCAAACAGAAAATTGTGGCCAGTTTCCCAAACAAGTCTCATGAGACTGTTTAGGAAGAATGGAAAGGAAACTCTGGCAATGACAATAATAGTCTTACTTCTAGGAAGAAGCCCTATTTTCCTAATTTCCTTTCCTCATGGACGTTTCCTACAGACACAGCAAGTGACAAAATTTCAAAAGTTTGTCAGCATCCTCCCACATGTGTACCTCTCCCTCTCACACACCAGTGAGCCTCTACAGTGACACTACGGGTCCCCTACTCTTACCTCTTATACCCCCTCCACTCCCCATTTATTCCATTCTCAGAAATAGTTTCCCTTTGCTGCCATGTTCTCATTCTCTCAATATAAATGATTTCAGCTGAACAAAGTAACCACCAATTAGAATCAATGTATGAACAATGAATAATATAAATTATGCTTACTAACCTCAGGAATTATCTAATTGGTAGGTTTTAAACAGTATTACAAAGAGAAGCAAACAATATGAGGCAAGAAACGACCTTGTAAAGACACATCAATCTTTCCTGAGAGTTTTTTGCTTCATTTTGTTTTGTTTTGAGATGGAGACTTGCTGTGTTACCCAGGCAAAAGCAGGAGTTCAGTGGTGCAGTTATAGCTCAATGCAACCTCAAACTGCTGGGTTCAAGCGATCCTCCTGCCTCTGCCTCCTGAGTCACTAGGACTACACGTGTGCACCATCGTGCCCTGCCTAATTTTTTCTTTTTAGTCTTTGTAGAGATGGGGTCTCACTATGTTGACCATATAGTAGCTCATTATATAGGTAGAAGGCACCTTTTTTTGTTTAGCCCTAAGAACCTGAATATGTTTTGTTACAACAGTATAAATGCATGATGAACTAGAGCCTTTAATCAACTCTGCAATACTGAATCACTACTAAGAATCTTTCTAGAAATCTTTTGTCCCATTCTGTATGAGAAAAGCACAGTGGCCAAGAATGACCAACTGCCTTGTTTCTAGGGACAGCACTTGACATCTATCCTAGGACTCTTGGCCCTAATGTCCCTATAAATTCAAAGAACATGACTGTACATATCAAGGGGCCCCATTTAATATTCAGAAAGAAGATAATATCCAAAGAAACCAGAAACTTTCATCAAATAAGGATTTAAGAACAATACTATATAAAGACATAAAGATGGCCCTGTAGTTTCCCTCTAACCGTGGAATTGGTTGATATTGACTGATCGTCTGCATGAAACTTCTAGTTCAGTTAGCATCATTTCAGTCAAAAGGTAGTTAATTTCAACCTAAGAACTACTCACATTTTCTCCATTACATTCACTAAATTAATGAACTTTGACTTTCAGAAAGGCTATTTGAGGGCATTTTAAAATACAGTAGTAGTCTTATTTTGAGAGAACAGAACAAAAAGAGGATTTTTATGGTCAAGCCAGGGCAGAAAACTATATATATTCCAAATTATCCCTAAAAAATCTTCTTCGATCTCCAGGATCCAGCTCTGAAAAGACAAGAACTAAGTGTTCTTTTCGCATTTAGGTGTAGTCTCCATTTTCCAGGAACAGTAGAGACCTAGGACTAGTTTGAACTAGGGGAAAGCAATGGGGTAAAGGGATTATTACTTTCTTGTGGCAAAGCATTTAAGTGAATTTGCACTACACTGTCACCCTTCTTATATAAACAGAACAGTTTCTAGTGTCCATGAGATTCAATAAGCTTAGGCTTATTATCAAGATAATCTAGACTTTAAAATTCAGTCTGAGTTTCATGCAAGCTCTCTCCTATTGCACTAACTGGAAGAATGGAATCAAATGTCTCATAATGTTTTTCTGTCAATTAGGTGGAATTTGTTCAAGAACTCCCAAAGACAATCACTGGGAAAATCAAACACAATGTTTTAAGAGACCAAGAATAGGGACGAACATAGCTTGATAAAAAAAACTGAAGGGTTAAGTAGTAATATGATTGCTTTCTCTCATTATTTGTTCCTGATAATTCCGTGACTACTCTCTTAAAATGTTTAAGATCCTTCCTGGTTGAAGTTTTTGTTTTCTACTTAGCTAAAAAATTAAAAAATAAAAGTCTAAAAATATATGGATGAAAATTGTTTTAATAACCAAACTGACAAAGGTAATAATGGTTTCTAGTGTTTAAAATAGGAGTCAAATGATTACTTAGAAAAAGAAAGTGCACAATGAATCTGTATTTTGTGCCTGATTAATTAAAAATAAAGATATACCCTAAATGTTCAAGACAATTTCTTCTGCTTAACTTTATGAGACCAAACTTTAAGACATTTAAAATACTGTTAAAATGAGGAGTATAAATAATTCAAAAATCAGTAAGTGAATTTAATGAAAGTACTGTATTACTGTGGCTCATTTTGAAGCAAATTAACTGTAAAATATCTGAAACTTGGATTTAAGGATCAAGGGTAATTAATAAATTTTCTATACTTTTTAGGTTCATGTCCATGACTTTTTATAATTTGACATATAAACATCTTTCATGATACATATATATACTACATATATACTATATATATATACTATAAAGCAACAGATTTACTAAGAGTCAGAAAGAAAGAAAAAGTACAGAACACCAATTTTAGGGAACAAATTTATTTTGATTTTTCTGAAAATATCAGAACTATGAAAAACAAGCTTGATATTTGGCTGTACCAAAAGCAAAATACAAGTAAAAATAACATTTGAAAACCATGTTTAACCTTAGAGAATCATGTTTTAAAATACAAACTTTAACATTCTTTTCTCTATGGAACTAAACATTTTCTAAACGACAAGACTGTAGTTTTATTTTTTTTTTTAACTGACGTAATTTTTTAAAAGAAAAAACAAAAGGGGAATAAAAAGCACTTACTTCCTACTCTGGAATCTCGTCATTTATAAAATAACATGCTCAAATGTCAGTGAAAATAAACAGTTGATAAACCTGAAAACAACTATTTTAATGAGTTCAGGTTACAACCGAACACAGGATTTTGTAACTGGGAAAGAATAGTTTGTATAACAACTGAGTCTTACCAAATACAAATAAATATAAAAGGCAATTAAAAACAAAACTATAAAATCAAAGTCTTTCCGTAAAGTAGCAGCTTTCACAAAGTAAAAACAATTTAGTTCCACAGAGTTGTATGTTCTGTAGGCATATGGCCAGTTTTTTTCCAAGTCCTTTTGTCTTGCACTATCAAAATAGAATCTTTGTCTTGGAGCAAGTCTGCTGAAGAAGGCACCAAAATCCTATCCTCCCTATTCCCCTAAATGATACTAATAATCCTCTTATCAATCATTTCAAAGTAACTTCAATGTCATTAAGAATTAACATTTGAAATATGTAAAGCTACAGAAGGAAGGTCCTGCCTATTCTCTTTACCCCTCTCAAATCACTCTAGTCTAGTTTGCCAAATAGAACCACTAGCTAGGATAAAAATATATTCCCATGTTCACTAGCCATTAAATAAACATAGCCACTTGTGCAGGAACCCTAACATTTTTAGCAATTCCTAACTTTAAAACTTAAGGATATGCCCATTTCTACAAGCTAACTTTACAGCTTCTTAATATTCTTAATCTGGACAGTTTACTTTGCAGACTTTGTTGGTGTCTGCCTTTTCAACTGTTTTACCCAAAAATAGGCCTTGAAAAAACTTTCAGATTCAGGAAACCCCTGCAGAGAACCCTCATGGTATGTGAATGTGAGCATTAACTTGAAGAATACTCTTATTTCACAGAAATTCAGGACTGTCAGACTAGGGCTGAGTTCATTCTCTTCCTTCAGAGACAAAATTTCAAGCTGAGCAGATTCATAGACAAGGGTTCCTCATACAGTTATATACTAGTGCTGGGAAAAGGAGAGAAAATGCTATTTCATTGGGTCTTGTGGTTCCTCCAGTTGGGTTAGAGAAGATTTGAGAGTTGTACCCTTCATTTTCAAGTCCAAGTGGCTGCAGAAACATTTCAAGGATTCTTCTGGCAAGGTGGCAAGTCAGTTTCCTTTTAGATCTAAGACTCTTGTCACTTTAAGAAAAAAAATTTTCTCCTGAACCTTTCAGAGACTTGTCCATGTGTTCATGTGATGAAAACCGTCTGCAAAACAGGCTAGTTTCTGTAGCCATTTTTCATTTCCAAAGCACTCAGCAAAAGCTGGCTGTTTTCTTGTAAGTACTCTGGTAATTCACCTTTCAATTCAAATATCCTGTAGAGAACTCTTCCTCTGATAAGCCAATGGATGTCTGTATGGTGCGGGGAGGTTTATGTGCTGTTTGTCCAGGTTTTTCTTTTGGGTTTTTTTTTTTTTTTTTTTTAACATTTTTGCATAAATGGGTCTTTGACACAGGTAACCAGTTTTGTAACATTATTCAGAACGTCACTGTATCTTCAAGTTTTTGATATCAGCATCTCTGTGAAGAAAGCAGTGTGCTATAATGTCAACATCAGGATTTCTTTTTTAATAATGCAAAATGACTTATGGAGACAACCACTGATGGGGCACCAGAAGTGTAGATAACAGACCTCTGGTTATCAGATATGATGTCACAACATTATATATTGGCCTTTGTTTTGGCAGGCTCCTAGCAAAAGAAAAAGTTTTCTTTGAATTTCATCATTATAAATCTTACAAATGCTACAGCATGACAAGTATTAGTGAAACCTGTTGACTCATCATCCTGGATAGAGAAGCTGCCACTTTTCAGTTAATGACACCAAACCTTTTTTGCACCATATGAGATATCATCAGTAAATCAACTTACTGAGAAAATAAAGTATTTTCAATTTTGTACTGCATCTTGCCCCAGCATTTTAATGTTATTAGATTCTCACCAACTATGCATATTTTCCTTTCCTGAGATAAGTTCTGCTACTAAATAGTTTGCTTCTTAAACCTTTTGACTAAATGTGATTTCTGAACAAAAGCCTTACTGTTTTTGTTTTGATAGTCCAAAAGCCATTTGAAAATAATGAATATCCTTTCTTGTCAAGTGGCTGTGATTTAGTTACAATTGCTAGTTTTATAAGTTGCATGCCACAGACAGTGCACAATAGGATAGGACAGCTTGGACTGAGTCCATATAAAACCCTTGAGAAGTAGCTTTCATTATAAAGACAGAATTTCTTTGTGTCCCTTGTTGCACTAGTATACTGAAGTATACTCAGAAGACTGAAATTCTTCATCACCAACCTTTTCAGAAATGCCTGTAGCTCTATGCCTAAATGGTTCTCTTCTCTCTCACATCTTGCCTTCCAAAATTGCGGCACTGGACTGTCAACTTTGTTACACACAAATGTTCAAATGTTAAAAAATAAAAATAAAAAAATAAAAACAGACATAAACAAGAAAATCACAAAAGTACAAAAACTTCACTAAACAATTCACTTCTAACCTACATGATCCACATTTTTGCAATGTTTACAGCACAGTGGCAGCGGGACAGCTGAGCTGTGGCATGTAGAAACACCTTCCTTAGAATGAAAACTTCCCTCTGATTTTCTGCTTCACAGTCAGTTCACTCCCATAAGTCAGCTGGCACTGCAGAAGAGGAGCCTAGGAGAGGTCAACATCCGCCTCCTCCTATCCTCCCCTCTTTGCAATAGCAGCACATGGGTCTGCCTCTACATAATACCATAAGGGCTGAAAGATCCCTAACAAAACTGTTAACAGGGCTGCGCAATCATTGTTCACTACTGTGAGAACAGCCTAATGCAGCACACAAATAAAAAACTGTTTTTAAGTCACAATTTAAGGTAAAACCCCAGCAACATCTCACAGAGCCCCAGGTGAGAAACCCACCTCCAACACTGAATGAATTCCTATGAGAGGTCATTTTCATTTGACTTGGATCCTTCTGTGGCTTGACTTGCAAGTTCAGGTTTGGCTCCTCCCTCATTTACCACCTGCGGATTAGACGTTGGTTTTGTCTGCCCCAGCTCTTCAGTATTCTCCGGTACCTGCTGGTTATTTTTTCCTTCTGCTGTGTTGTTTTGGTCTGATTTGTCAGCAGATTCCAATTTAGCTTCTTTCCCATTTCCCTGCTTTGAGTTAAGCTGTGATGGATCCTTAGGGCTCTTCACCACCTCCTGGAGATTGTATTTTCTAAACAACATGTAATCTTTCACAACACTCAGGCAACAGACAGCTTTGATGATTTCTACTACCACCGTGTACTGTGGATTGGTGAGATCCACTTTATTTTCTGAATTGAGGGTGCACACTATTCCTGTAACAAAAACAGAAAAACACATAGCTGAGGAGGATACCATTATGTTTGACAGATACAAAAAATCTTTTGTCTGTTTCTTGTTAAAATAAGACATATAGTAATCCACTCCTCTATGTGGACTTCAAATACTCTGAACTCTTACAATAAATAAATACAAATGAAACCCTACAACATTTAGTAAGAATATTTTTTTCCAAACAAAAATTCAATTTTTAGTTAAAAAAGACTTTATCTAACTACCAGAAAATCTCATATCCAACATATTGAAATCAGTTGATTTAATATTATTTTAAGAACATTTTAATATATTTGTTCTACACTCAAAAATGTAAGCCTTAAATCTTTAAAAAGAAAAAAAATCCTTTAAAAACAAGTATTTACTATTGAACGCCTACGGAAAATCACTAAGAGAAACATACCTGCCAATTCTCTGATAACTTCTTCTCTATTCACATGACTGTTATTTCGAGATTTGTACACAATCTGAAATGTCCCTTTGTTAGGAGTTTTAAACCAGGGTTCCAAAAATGTTTGTGCATATTTTTTCATATCTTCTAAAAAAGCCTTGCATGTGCCTGAGATGGGTAACATTCGTAGAATAACTCGAGTCTTCTTCTTCTTGGTTTTGTACATATCCTGGAGAATATGATGCACCAATTTCTCAGGTTCTTAAGAAAAAAAAAAAAAACAGAAAAAAAAAAGTTAAGAAGGTAATTTCTCAGACATCCTAAACACTGAACTCTAAAATGAATTTTCACTGGCAATGACATAAGTTGACAGAAGAAATTCTGATAATGAATTTAAATGAATCTACCTAGTCGTTTTTCCAACTAGTATTTCTTCAGTGCCTAATATGTACTATAATGTACCTAATTTTTAACTTTTCATCATTACTGCTTGCACTAGAAATGACTGTTTAGACAGTCATTTTTTGTGACGTCCTGAGTTATCCAACCTGAACACCATGCTCTTGTTTTCCTGTAACAACTATCAGAGTACATTAAACAGTACATACTTTTTTACCAAAAAACAAAAAATAAAAAATAAAAAAAATCTGTGAGTCACTTTAAAAGATGTAATTAATCCATTAGCTAAGTTAGCACAGAAGTCTAAATCTCAGACCCAGGAGGAATCCCAGAACCATATTGGGCACGAGATCATGAAAGGGAGGTCCTCAGGCTGCAACCTGCCTACATACAAGTCTATTTGTGGTTGCTCTGAAAATTTTTAAATTAGTTGACCACATTGAAAAATTTAAAAACTCCAGATTTCCAACTTATTTTGAGAAATTCGAATACCTGGTCCTGCATTCCCAAAGAGCAACAACTGGCTGGAGCTGAGTAGCAGCTGCCCCTTTTAGACAGAAGAGGCACTCTAGTTCTGCTTTAAGATATATACGAAGGAAGCAGCAAAGCCAGGTTTCCACTCTTAAGCCAATGCTACATCCACCACCCCATTCTACCTCTCCACAGGCCAACTGCTAATATAGTGTACAGAAGCTGCCATCAAATGATTGAGTCATGCCCAAGAAGCCATTTTGTAAGCAGTATTCCCTGAGAGAGGAATATACCCAGATGTTGTAAGATCAATAATCTTAACAAGTATTCGTCACACCTATCCCAAGTGTCCTGATGAAGACGACGTTATTTGCTCCACTTTCCACTGACTGGAATCTTCTTAGCCTCAACTCTGTAGATGCCTTAATGTCACCAACTTCTTTCTTCAAGGCAGCCTCCACATCATCATCCTCTCCCTCACTTCCAGAGGGCTGCTGATCCTTGTCTGTAAACTGTTTGCATAAAACTAATGAGCAGAAATGACACAACAGCTCACATTTAAACACTGTAAGTAATCATTTATGTGAAATCCCTTGTGGCAGGCGGCTCAGTATTGATTTTTTTTTTTTAATATGAGTCTCGCTTTGTCTCCCAGACTGGAGTGCAGTGGTGTGATCTTGGCTCGCTGCAACCTCCGCCTCCTGGGTTCAACCAATTCTCCTGCCTCAGACTCCGGAATAACTGTGATTACAGGCGCATGCCACCACGCCCAGCTAATTTTTGTATTTTTAGTAGAGATGGGCTTTCGCCATGTTAGTCAGGCTGGTCTTGAACTCCTCAGGTGATCCACTCGCCTCAGCCTCCCAAAGTGCTGGGATTACAGGCGTGAGACATCATGCCCAGCTAACTCAGTATTGATAATAAAGCCTTTTTTTACGAAACTGGGACACCACACCCTTCAAAACATGGAGCAAGGCTGGAAGTGGTCGCTCACGCCTGTAATCCCAGCATTTTGGGAGGCTGAGGCAGGCAGATCACCTGAGGTCAGGAGTTCGAGATCAGCCTAGCCAACATGGTGAAACCCCATCTCTATTAAAAATACAAAAACTAGCCCGGTGTGGTGGCAGGCGCCTGTAATCCCAGCTACTCAGGAGGCTGAGGCAGGAGAATTGCTTGAACCTAGAAGGCAATGTTGCAGTGAGCTGAGATTGCACCACTGCACTCCAGCCTGGGTGATAGAGCAAGACTCTGTCTCAAAAAAATTAAAAAAAAAAAATGTGGAGGAAGAGGGAATTCCCACAGATATAGTATGTAAAATTTGAAAATGTTTTCAAAAGCATCCTGACAGTTTGAGACAGAGAGAAATGTGCTGACCAGATCAATCATTTCAGGGTGGACCTTAACACCTTGACTAGGTATCTGTGTGACTGACATGACACTCTCCTTTTGGTGAGATTAGACCAAATACTTGTGGAATTAAAAAGCCTTACTCTTGTTCTATTAAGGAACAAGGCACAGAAATACTTGTTCAATAATTTTGGCCAAGCATGGTGGCTCACGCCTGTAATCCCAGTACTTTGGGGGTCGGAGATGGGCGGATCCCTTGAGCCTAGGAATTTGAGACCAGCCTGGACAACATGGCCTGAGAACCCCTCTCTACAAAAAATACAAAAAATTAGTCGGGTGTGGTGGCACATGCCTGCAGTCCTTGCTACTCGGGGGCTGAGGCACGAGGATCGCCTGAGCCTCGGAGGTGGAGGTTACAGTGAGCAAGATCATGCCACTGTACTCCAGCCTCCACCTTGGGTGACAGAGCAAGACCGTTTCCAAAAAAAGAATTTGCTCAAAGTACAGGAGTAGACAGGATATGTACTTGTTGCCCATTTCTCTGCCCCCCAGTGCCCAATGAAATCGCCAATCAGGCACAATAATTGTACACATTTACTGAAACTTTATTACATACCAGTATGTACTTTATGTACATAAGCAACCCACTAGCCAGTCTTAAAGTATTCGCCTTTTTATCTAGCTCAGCAGCATCAAATAATGTGCCCGTGTCCGAGTCCCCAGCTGGTAAAGGATGAGCCGTGAATTTAAATTCCCTCTGTATTATTACCCTTCTTCATTTAATCCCTCACAGTGCATGTGGGTATTGGTCCAGATTCTAAGACAGTAATATGATTTCCAAACAGTAAGACTTTAGGTGATAATGGTAAAAAAGTTTTTACTTTCTAAAATGTATTGTAAGTGCAGTAACTGGCATTAGTAGTAAACCTATTATTTCAAAGATATTACTTCAGGTAAACACATTATTATTCCAACTTCACAAGGCTGTCATGAGAAATGTGTTTCTAAAAGAGCTTCAGCACACCGCCTGGCCCTCAGTGAGCAGTCCATAAGTGGGAGCTAGGCCGGGCTCAGTGGCTCACGCCTGTAATCTCAGAACTTTGAGAGGCAGAGACGGGAGAATCGCTGGAGTGTAGGGTTTAGGACTACCCTGACCAAAAGAGTGAGACCCCTTATCTACAAATTACAAAAATTAGCCGAGAGTGGTGGAGCGCACCTGTAGTCCCAGCTACTCGGGAGGCTGAGGCAGGAGAATCGCTGGAGCCCGGGAAGTCGAGGCTCCCTTGAACTATGATCTCGCCACTGCACTCCGGCCTGGGCAACAGAGCGAGACCCTGTCTCACAAAAATAAACATAAAAGTAATGGGAGCTACCGTGGTTAATGATGGAAAGAAAAGGTGCAACACTTCAAGCACAAAAAACTACAGCGCCGAAGTCTGCGAACGTCTCAGGGCTAGGGACGGTAAACTCCGGAGAGACCACGCCCCTACAGCCGTCACGACGACGACCCAAAGCGCGCATGCCCATACCGACAGCCAACCCTCCAGCCCTCCCTCCTCCCGCAAGGCCTAGCAGCCCGCCCGCCCCGGTACCGGTACCTTTTCTGGCCCATACATGTCGTCGCCGTATTCGTTGAGCAGGCTGTAGGCCTCTTCCACGCACTTGCGCTCGTTCATGTTGCAGGTGATGAGGATGCCCTGTAGCCCGGGCTCTAGCTGACGGGGCCCGCCAGCGTCGCAGCGCCGAGCGCGCTTGGCCAGCACATACTGAGCCTTGCCTTTGCGCTTCCCGCCGCCAGGCTGCGTAGTCGACTGGGCGGGGGCCGCCATCGTGTGCGCAAGCTGAGAGGAAAGAGAAACGTTTCTCGGCTGCTGTTGGCGTCCTCACCTACCGCCGGCGCGAGCTGGTGACGTCAGATATGAGCGACGGCCTCCCCTAGCCCGCTTCCAAGCTTCACGCCGTGCTGCGCCGGGTCCTAAGGCCGGTCTGTATCCGTCAAAGGGGTGGAGTGACACCCGCCCAAACCCCTCCTCCTTCCCCGACTCCCAATTGCAACCTGAATCCAGTAGAGGCAGCATGGCAGCCATTCTGGACGTGGTGTCAGTGGCTCCCCACCCTTGAAGCTGGCTCCAGCCTCGTAGCTTCCTCCACCCAACCTTGGTACGTGTTCCTCCAGCCTTCCCTATAATTCTGCCAGTTACTGTGGAGGAAAAGTAAAATGTTAAATTTGAACTCAATTGAACGTAGACACAATGGTCATCAAGTCCGGAACAGGTTGCATGAGCCCCTTGAGGCATTCATTCATCCAGCACTGTTACAGTTAACTCTGTGCCTGTACTTGAGTTGTTGAAAAACAGACAATCGCAAAAACAAGTTGACCTTTATGTGTTCCTTGAGCCCAGTCGCGAAGGGCCCTCGTGACTGGGCGTCATGCCAATCGACGCATTACAAAAAGAGCCAGGGTGGCCGGGCGTAGTAGCTCACGCCTGTAATCACAGCACTTTGGGAGGCCAAGGCGGGCAGATCACGAGATCAGGAGATGGAGACCAGCCTGACCAACATGGTGAAACCCCATCTCTACTAAAATGCAAAAAATTAGCCAGGCGTGGTGGCATACACCTGTAGTCCCAACTACTCGGGAGGCTGAGTCAGGGGAATCACTCCAACTCTGGCGGCAGAGGTTGCAGTGAGCGGAGATCGCCGTTGCACTCCAGCCTGGTGACAGAGAGAGGCTCTGTCTCAAAAAAAAAAAAAAAAAAAAAAAGAGCCAGGGTCCCAGGCCACGACAAAGCTTCATGAGACCTCTCCTCCTCTGTGCACAGACAAGTGGCTGACTCTGGAGCCCAGGCTGTTGCTTTCCGGTATGGTGATGCATCCTCCATAGTCTGGTGCATATATATATATATATATATATTTTTTTTTTTTCCCTTCTTCCCTTCCCATTGCAATTTGTTTATTATATCTGCATTGCCATTTACGTGGGATAAAAGTTGTTTACCCTCAAAGGTATTGTATGTTTGTTTGTTTGTTTTTTTGAGGGAATCTTGCTCTGTCACCCAGGCTGGAGTTCAGTGGCGTGATCTCGGCTCACTGCAAGCTCTGCCTCCCGGGTTCATGCCATTCTCCTGCCTCAGCCTCCCGAGTAGCTGGGACTATAGGTGCCCGCCACCATGCCCGGCTAATTTTTTTTGTATTTTTAGTACAGACGGGGTTTCACCGTGTTAGCCAGGATGGTCTCGATCTTCTGACCTCGTGATCCGCCCGCCTTGGCCTCCCAAAGTGCTGGTATTACAGGCGTGGGCCTCCCAAAGTGCTGGGATTACAGGCGTGAGCCACTGCACCCGGCCGTATGTTTGTCTTTTCCCCTCGCACATTTCCCACACAGAACAGTTACTCAAAAGGCTTCCAGTAAATTCCATTTCAGGCTATGTTTCTATTTCATTTACAACCAAGGATGTTGCCTAGTGTTAAGTGTTTCATGCTGCTTTCTCTGCAGCCTTTTATCCATAGTCTTGGCAATTATCATGTTACTGTCTTTTTAAAAATCATTGAAAAGATGCCACTTTTGAAGAATGTGTTTAAAAAACAAATGTTTCTCATATTACTCTTCAGGTACAAACCTATTAGCAGATTTGAGTTCCTACAAAGCCCTAAAGGTGTAATCTGATATTTTGAAAGGGACGCTGAATTCACAGTCAATAACCCTAGGTTCTAACCCCAGATCTACCACTATGTCCAAAAATTTTATCATCTTACTATTTGCTTTTACCTGTGTATTCAATACGGTATTCAATTTTCAGAATTTCTTTGGTGAAGACTGCACAGCAGAGATTTCTAGAACTCCTCAGTTGTTTCTGAAGAGCAGTGTCATGACACTGGCATTGACGTTCCCCCAAATCTCTCTCTGTTCTGCTGGCTGGATTTCAGTTGCCCACACTCTGCCACCTGTCCTTAGGATATTAAATATTAGCATACAGATAACAAGTTAAAATATATATATTTCAAGTCCCAAGCATATCTGAGTACTACATGGAGGCAAACTTGAAAAACCAAAACTCAGTTTTGTTGAAATACGTGAGGAGGCAGCTTTAGGCTAAATTTAAGTTTGGTGTAAATCAAGCTTGTCCAACCTGTTGGCCCGCAGTTCACATGTGACCCAGGACGGCTTTGAAATTCAACCAACCCAACACAAATTCATAAACTTTCTTAAAACATTATAAGATTTATCTGCAATTTTTTAAAATGCATCTGCTATTGTTAGCATTAGTGTATTTTATGGGTGGTCCAAGAGGATTATTCTTCCAAGGAAGCCAAAAGATTGGACATCCCTGGCCTACAGATTTCTCCATACATAGTGAACTATAACCTAATTGGATGTGTAAACAGACTGTAACTGCTCTTGTAACAAGTAGCCAAATCTCAGTCAATCACAGAAGCCATGCTCAACTACTCACAGGTGGCTGATTGTTCAAATCGTGTTTTTTATTTTTATGTTCTTTGAGACAGAGTCTCACTGTCACCCAGGATGGAGTGCACTGGCACAATCTCGACTCACTGCAACCTGGGTTCAAGCGATTCTCCTGCCTCAGCCTCCCAAGTAGCTGGGATTACAGGTGCATGCCACCATGGCCAACTAACTTTTGTATTTTAGTAGATATGGGGTTTCACCACATTGACCAGGCTGATCTCGAACTCCTGACCTCAAGTGATCTGCCCACTTTGGCCTCCCAAAGCACTGGGATTACAGGCATGAGCCACCGTGCCTGGCCAAACCATGTTTAAATAAGGCAAATACTGAGTTGTAACCTATTGGGCTGCTTCTGTACCTTACTTCCGTTTTCTGCACCTCACTTTTCTTTTTATGTCCGTAAGTCATCTCTGACCACGTGGCAGCACCTGGATGTCTCTAAACCTAATCTGGTTGGTGGATCAGGGGCCTGCCTGATTTGAGAATTGTTTCTTGTGCAATTTAATTCTGTTAAATTTAATTCATCTAAAGTTTTTTTTTTAACAGTTTATTGTATTTCATGGTTGCTGACTGTGCTGAGAATATCCAATGAAGTGAGAATAATTTGCAACCCTGTAGCTCTCAGTCTAGATGTCAGAATTATCTAAATCACACCCTCATCCTGTGGCAGCTGCATCCACTTACTTCCTCTTCTGAACCAGGCCCTTGCCCAGCTCTAAATAATTCAACCTTCATTTATTCCTTATTATTCTTCTTTGTTCTTTTTTGCTTATTCTTTATGACTACATCTATTATTTCATGGCTGTGTGAACTTTCACCTCCTCAGGTTACCTCCCAGACATGGACAATGGCCTGATGTCTATCCTTAGACACCAAGGACTTTGTCACTTGAAAACCTCTCTTAGAAGGGACCACTTGGTGGTCAGGTGCGGTGACTAACACTTGTAATCCCAGCACTTTGGGAGGCCAAGGAGGGTAGATCACTTGAGACCAGTTCAAGACCAGCCTGGGTAACATGGCAAAACCGCATCTCTACTAAAAATACAAAAATTAGCCGGGGATGGTGGTGCATGCCTGTAATCCCAGCTATTTGAGAGGCTGTACATGAGAGTTGCTTGAACTTGGGGGGCAGAAGTTGCCCTGAGCTGAAATCGGGCCACTGCACTCCAGCCTGGGCGAAATAGCGAGACTCTGTCTCTAAATAAATAAATAAATAAGAAGAGACCACTTGGCACCTTGTGGCACCATGTAGAGTAGATGAAGGTGATCTGAGGAAGTTACATTTTAATTAACCTATTTGCTTCAGATATTCAGAAGGCCTCATAGCCAAGCAAGGGGGGAATGGTGTGACACATTCTAGATTCCCTTTCCCTTTCTCTTCCTAACCTTCAAAGTTACTGTCCCTGAAGTTCAGTACAGAATCCAGGTAGGAGATGCTCTTAGACACTCCTCCTGTTCTGACCTTGCTCCCCATCCACACTTCCTGCCTTATTCTCTTGTTACCCAGCATCTTTAGGGAATGGATATCCTGGCACTGAATCCCAGTCTCCTTCTGACTTGATTCCCAATATCTGCTGCCTTCAGAGTAGGTATCATGTATGATTAAGAGCCCAGGTTCTAAAGTCAAACCAAGTTCAAATTCTGCTTTGGCCATGACCTGGCTGTGAAACTCTGAGTAAGTTACCCAAGCCAAGTTTTAGGTTCCCTGTTAGATTTAAAAATAATAACAATAATGGAAATAATAATACTCACATCATGGGTTATTAGGAAAATCCAGTAAGATCAGGCATGACAAGTGCTTAGCTCTCAGCCACTGTTCAGTCAACGTGTGCTTAAAAATAACTGCTTTCAGACTCAGTCATGACTCATGGAAGCCTTTTTTTTTTTTTTCGGTGTAAGTGTCCATCCTTCAGTCTGATCAGCTAACCTCATTATTTGTCTATTATTCTCTAATTTAATGGTTCTTTTATATTTTTGGCTTACTAAAAGCTGTTGAATCCTTTTACTTAGGAGACTAAAAGGGACTTTATTTTATTTTTCTATAGACTTCTTCTGTGGAAAAGGGAATTTAAAAATGTACATAGTGTAGATGACCAAATAGGAACAGCTCCAGTCTACAGCTCCTAGCGTGAGCGACGCAGAAGATGGGTGATTTCTGCATTTCCAACTGAGGTACCGTGTTCATCTCACTGGGGCTTGTGGGACAGTGGGTGCAGGACAGTAGGTGCAGCCCACTAAGTGTGAGCCAAAGCAGGGCAAGGCATCACCACACCTGGGAAGTGCAAGGGGTCAGGGAATTCCCTTTCCTAGCCAAGGGAAGCTGTGACAGATGGCAACTGGAAAATTGGGTCACTCCTACCCTAATACTGTGCTTTTTCAATGGTCTTAGCAAATGGCACACCAGGAGATTATATCCCGCACCTGGATCAGAGGGTCCAACATCCACGGAGCCTCACTCATTGCTAGCACAGCAGTCTGAGATAGAACTGCAAGATGGCAGCAAGGCTGGGGGAGGGGCACCCGCCATTGCTGAGACTTGAGTAGGTAAACAAAGCAGCCTGGAAGCTCCAACTGGGTGGAG